TTGGTACAAGAAATACATTCTTTCTCGATTCTAGACCAGAGATCATGCAGTCCTTTATCCCTATCTTCATCTAAGCTCAGCCTCAGCTTTAAATGGTGCCAGAGATGCTCTATAGGATTCAAATCAGGACTTTGAGCAGGCCAACTGAAAGTATGCTCTTTTAACCCATTTTCCTTAAACCAAACATGAGCAATCTTTGATGTGTGCTTAGGATCACTGTCGTGTTGAAAATAAATAGATTCCTGTTGGTAACTGTTTTAATCGTAAGATTAAATAAAAAATTAAACAAAAAAACAATAGCAGCAATATAAAATTAAAATCCTTCTTTATTGCAGATTTCTTTATATTGCAAAAGAGCCCCGTTTAATGGATAAAAAGTTGGCATCTATTTATATTCTTTGTGAGCGTAGATATAAAAGATATAGACTCGGCAACGATGTCGTGCTGAAGAACCAATGATTAAGCTAAAGCTTGTCGATGTTCTAATATATGCATCTGAAGTTGAACGATAGAAATAATAACCAGTCAATTAACTTTGATCTAATTACTTTTGGGGTTGACAATTGATTAGACTCGCTAGGATGACAAATACTGATCTTATTGTTCTAAATTTGGAAAAGTGTGGAATTGTTCAATCATAGTTTAATCTTTGTGTATCGTTATTATTTTAATACAACTGATATCTTATAGAAAATAACTATGTTTACAACAGTAACCATAGTACTTCAGACTGTCCATCAGTGTAGTTGACAGGATATGAACATAATCTGATGCTTTCATAGTACCATTCTCAATTGCGCAGCCATATCCAGGACCATCCCACGTCATACAACCCCAAAGCAGCACACTGCCAGCTCCTCCTTTGACTGTAAGGTCAAGATGATGAGGCTGCAATTTGTCACCAGGTCGTTTCCAAAAGTACTTACAGCCATCTGAACCCCAAACATTAATCTTGGTCTTATCAGAAAGCACTATACGTCTCCAGTCATCTTCTGTCTAATCTTTGTGAGCTTTAGCCCACTTTAGTCTAGCTTCCATGTGACATTTTTTGAGGTGAGGCTTTTTCTTCTTAATTTGGGTATCGAAACCCATACTGTGAAGCATTTTTACTGTACCAAAATAGCCTATCTTGTGACCAATACTGTTTAAATATGGCCATACGCTCTTTGCAGTCTTAAGTGAACCATTTACAAGCTCTCTCTTCAGGTAATTCTTTGTCGTTGAGCTTATAGTAGTCTTTTTACCAGCATGACCTCGAGTACGTTCAGGTGTATACAAGCCCTTGTGCTTGCTCAAAGTGGACATTAATACTCCTGGAACATGTTCCATGATCTCTGAGTATGATAAACCCTTTTTCAACAGCTACCGGATGCTCTCTTGCTTGCTACGAGATAAAGGATGTACCATGATATAAGGACGTATAGACTGTACGAGATGGAAGGGAAACACCGTAAAACACAGCCTTATTTATACATTTTAAGCTCCGATTAATAGCAAAAGCGTTGTTTCATAATTACATCATTTTGTAATGCTGTATTTGTGATGTCAGAAGCGGCAACGATATCATTATTATAGAATGCATTGAGTTGGAAAAATTGTTCGAATGCATATGCTTGACGCAATTTGGTCTTACTATATATGGAAATAATTCCAGACCCCTAGCGCTTTATATGTTATATGCGAAAGCTGTCGCTTTTTAATGAGGTATCGTACGTAGCTCTATCGTATCTGACTGCAGAGATACAAAGCAAAACGTATAAAATTGCAAAACATTCGAACAATTATTCCAACAACTGTAAATCTTTTTTCAAAATTCAAAAATGACCAATACAACGGAAGTTACATTTTTTCTCCAAAACCCATAAATATCTGTTAACCAAAAAATGTTCAATCTTGCGATATGCTTTATCTAATTGGAACGATTATTTGCAGTGTTCATTTGGGAAAAAGAGGCGGTCCTGACCAACATAGCACATATCATGTGATATGTGTGTTTTCCCCAACTATGTTTACCTTGAATAATACGACTTTCAATTAATAGTATGGGAACCTCTTTAGGCAGTAAGACTTTAAAAGCGTAAAGTAAGTATATAAAAAAAAGGGGAAGAAGACTGTAGATCGTTTATTATTATCACATCAACACTATTTATAATAAAACTCTTTTTGACATTCCGTTATTTCTTGTTCTTCTAGAACAATTGAGTTCTCGATCTTGTATATATTTAGACACCATAGAATCTTCATATCTAACTTGTCTTACGGGAACTCTAATATCTTTCGCGTCTGAGCTAAAGGGGCGATCTGTGTAACTTGACACTATTTCCCAATACAGCCACAAAAGCACCAAACAATAAGAAAATACTACCCGGTCCGCACAACAACAATCCGATCCGCAAAACACCACTGCAAATAATTGTGCAAACTCTGCGAATCGTTAATTGTTAGGTATATGCTTTTATGTTCAGCAATATCAGAATCTGTGATTGAATGCATATTTATGCCGACGACGATATCAGCCATACTTTACGGGCCTATAATTCTATTATTTATTCTACGTCCTGCTAATGCAGATACTGACGGGAGTGATAATTCAGAGTTCTAAGTAGATTTAATCCTTAATGTGCGAGGACGTCTATCTTGGTAGCTGCTTTTCATAGTCTTTTCTACGTCAGAAAAAAATTGGGGACCAATGATACTTTTCAAATCAATGCTTTATTTGTCTTTTTGATCTTTATAAACCACTCATATTGCCTTATAAACTTCTTTATCGACCACTCATATTGCTTTATATACTTCTTTATCGACCATTCATATTGCTTTATATACAGAAAAAAAAATATGGATTTGTTTTATAAAAATAGCTTTTTTTTTATTTAAATAAAATAATAATAACAGTATACAGTATTTCTTTGCTTGTAGTGTTTTAAAGCTTACTTGACTTACCTAATATCATCACGATAGCATCATCCAATCTAAAAATACATCAATTAATTTTGTGAAACTCAAGAAGTTCTCACAAAAAAAAAAAAAAGGGCCAAGCTCAAGGATGCAAAGACACAAGGATTCAAGGACGCAAGGACTTGGACACTCAAAGCAAAAGAACAAAAGACATCAGTACTCAAGAACCAAAGCAAGGGTGAGAAAGAGATAGTAAAAGGCCAAAGCAAAGTAGCATGTATCTATAATAATTATTAGCTATCGAGTATACGTAGTAGAAGTAATAGTACCTTTCTTTAGATAGGCCAGAAGAAGACTAGCTAAGCATATACCAACAAGTAAAGAAAAGGGAAGCAGCATGCATCTATAATAATTATTAGCTATTGTGTACATGTAGTAAAAGTAATAGCACCTTACTTTAGATGAACCAGGAAAAAGAAAAGAAAAAAAGACACCAGCCAAGCTTATACCAACAAGTAAAAGAAGAAGCAATGATAATCCTGGGAAAGAGATTTTATAAAGACCATTTAAAACATTAAGAAAGCAACAAATACGATTTTACTAAAGTATAAGTACCATTAGAACAGGAGTGAAATATATATAATATTAAGAACTTACCTTTTATAAAAAAGAGAAGAAGAAGAAAGAAAAAAGAAAAGTACTTTTTTTTTGTAGCCTTATTTTTTTACCAATGTTACACTTATTCACTGTCTGAACATATAAGTCAAAAACTGTTGCTTTTCATGTAGTTTACATTTAATGATATCCCAAAAGATAACTTATACATTGCTTGAACAAGTTTTATTACTCGAGTGCTATAGCTTCAACATGGAGAGTATTATTTTTTTCTTTTTTTTTTTTTATTTTAGGTTAAAAAAAATTCGGTCTTAACGGACTACAGCAGTAAAACAGGTTTTTTTTTCTCCCTGGTTTTGTTTCATGGAACACATTAGATGCTCAAGGTACAAAAGATAAAAAAGAAAGCTCAAGTTCTGGTCAAATGTAAGTTTATAAAAAAAATAATAGCAACCAAGTCTAATGTCGGTTTCTTTTTTTTTCTTACATTAGGAATTCCTAATGGGACACATTCGGATGACGAACATGAACCTCATGGGCAAAGTTGTTCTTTTCAACATGATGAAACTATAATAATATCAAATTTATTCTGTTGCTTGTTGCTGAAAAGTTCTTTTTGGTAAAGAAAGTTGTCATTGCCCCACATCTCTAATGGCTAATGGTAAATTAAACCCATGTGCAAACATAAAGTAAGTAATGAACGAGTATAAGCTTAAAGATATATATTCTTTTATATTATTTGTCATAAAAAATAATAAAGTGGTCTATTTACTTGAAAAACAAAAAGTATTTGTATGTATTTGTTAATTATAACTGCCTTGTAACAAAATGTTAGCAGAGCTTCTTTATTTTATTATTATTTTATAATGTAAAGACATTTACATTTCTATAAAGTATATTTGTTGTTAAATTATTGTTTTCATTTGAATAATGAACTTTCTATTGCTAGACTCTTTTTTTTTTTTTTTTTTTTTTTTTTTTCCCAAACACGACTATTTTGTTACGTTCTGTAATACGTTTGTAATGACCTAAGCTAAAAACCACAGACTACCTTCCTAATATGTATTCTTCTGAGCAAAATAATCCGAAAGTACTTTTGATTTCCGCTTTTTGCCCTCAAAAATAAAAAAAAGAAGATATCGGTCTTTCAACAATAGAGGGGAACAGGCTTTCCAAAAAAAATATCATCTGTAAAAAAAACAGACACTTTTTTAAAACATGAATAACTCTATGAATACTTACCCTACAAAAAAAACAGAAATACTGTTCAATTTCTTCATTTTTTTCGCACCTAAATCTTTTTTCAAAATTAAAAAAGGTGCAATACAGCAAGATATAATGTTTTCTCATAAAAAATTATAAAACCTACGAATCTATGATTGTTAGGTCTGTTAAAATTCTACGTCAAAGCTACTACATTATTTGTAGTGCACGTGATTAAATGCAGGACGAAGACATGGATTTAGCCACATATCACATAGTCACTTGCTTCCTTGGCTCAGTCGGTAGAGCGTCAGTCTCATAATCTGAAGGTCGCCAGTTCGATCCTGGCAGGGAGCAGTCAAATGTAATTATTTAGTTCTTTTACTCATTTGATTAATGTTTCGCTATTTTGATGTTGAGTCTTATGTCGTGGTTGATTACGAATGTCATATCTTTTTATTCTATATATGGATATTTGTGTTGCTTTCCTTTTAATGAAGTTCATGTTCAACAAGTTACAAGCTATGACTCACAAGAGGGTTGTTTATATTCAATATCAACATGACTCATGAATTATGACAATACTTGTATATACCTCAGTTCTGTAAAGTAATATAAATAGACGGCTAATGCAAAAGATAGGTCCCGGAGATCGTTGGTCCCAGTTAAGCTCCGATCTGCATGAAACTCCGAGTATAAATTCTTGTACCCCGTAGCATCTTTGATGCCAAATTTGGTAAGATTTCAATCAGCGCATCTGATTCTATTGGCCATTGAATTCACCTAGTGTACCGCCTATTGAAGTGAGGGTCGGTAGACTTTTAAGATTAATTTTTTTTCTTTCCTTTAGTGGTTTTTTGCGCTTTTTTTGTTGTCCTTGACCTCTGACTTGGGATAGATATTCATCAATGTGATTGGATACTTATGTTGCGTGGTTTTTTGTAGGACGCAATATAAACACCCCTTTGTATTTTTGCATTTTCTCTGTATCTTGGTTATTTTCCTATTTGACCGACTCAAGCTTTAGTGTATCGTTATCACATAGTGGTGGTCGTACTTCTGGCTAATTGAATGCTCCTTATGGGCCCCGTACTCCTTCGGATGGTGACAAAGTGAGCGAAGCACGAATTATTACGTCATATGAAACTACATGGGCGTAACTGGTATGAGAGAAAAGTAGAGCATGTTTACTGATGGGATTGCAGTCACCTAAGGAAATCCATCGGTGCGTTCCACAAGGAAAACCACATTTGCAGCTTCAATAGATGCATGAAGGAGATGGTTCTTAGGTATAAACCTAACAAATGTTAATTTTACTATCGTTGCCGCACTCCTTCATTCATTGGGCTTCATAATAATCGACAAGAATGCATTACGAAAGGGTCTGTATTTATTGATAAAAAGTCGTGTCGTATTTTCCTTACTAAATACTCAAATGTCATGTGAGATCACTCAAGATCTGCAGGTCATATAATTTAAAACTACCTCTATATAACACTACTTGTTATATAGTCATCAGTACTCATAAACAACTTTAGTAATTTACATTGTGCAATTTCGGTTCCTCAATTATTAATTTTATCAAATCAGACGTAGTTTGTATTTAATGAGTTCTCTCTCCTGTCTTCACTCAATAAAGAGGTGCAAGAGCCTCATCGATTATCAGTTTTTCTTTTACACTTTATTTTCACTCTTAATCGACTATAAACTACTGACCAATATCACAACTGACCCTCACTTCTGTAGGCGGTACACTAGGTGAATTCAATGGCCAATAGAATCAGATGCGCTGATTGAAATCTTACCAAATTTGGCATCAGAGATGCTACGGGGTACAAGAATTTATACTCGGAGTTTCATGCAGATCGGAGCTTAATTGGGACCAACGATCTCGGGGACCTATTTTTTGCCCTTGCCGCTATCATACTCCATAGATAACAATTATGTGCAGTGGATTTCCAAAAAAGGAAATATGTAATTTTAAAGTCCGACAGTAACAAAGGTACAGTTAACCTTACATACGATGGTCCTGGGTATGCTTGTCGTATTCATGATGGAAAAATGAAGAAAGAGGATCATGTACAGTGGCCAGCAAAACCGTTCGCACAAAACGTATTTTTTTCTTTCTGCACCATTTGTGACGTATTGTGCATACTGGACATTATATTTAGTACATATCACCTAAAAGTAGAACCTCTTGGCTTTCTGATGACGTATAATCTGCCGCCCTAAGCACACCCTAAATCGTATTACAGACAATCAAAACTCAAAGGTACATTCGAACGGTTATGCGGCCTCGCTTGAGAAATTTCTCGATTGCGGTAAACGCAGTCACTACACCCTCGGATTCCTCCAGAACTTTCGCAGCTTACTAATGCACCACTGCGCATTATTTTTTGCTTTTTTTTCTTTGTCATTCGCACATTCTCATTTCGACATCTCGACATCTACCAAGTAATTACCCAACATGCAACCATTAACAGAAGATCGCAAGAACACTATCGAGTTTTACCTTCGTCAAGGTTTTTCTTATCATAAAATTGCAAAGTTAGTCAAAGTATCATCCTCCACTGTTCATAAAATTCGTTTGGAATTAGGCTTGCCTGCTCGAATTGACAAAGGTGGCAGGCCAAAGGCGCGAACTAAGCGGGAGCAGCAGCATCTCGTTCGTGCTGTAACAGTAGATGGGCTCGAGAATGCTGTACAAGCACAGCAGTCGTTGGAGCAGAACTTGGGCAAGTCAGTTTCTGTAGATACTGTACGTAGGGAGTTAAGGGATGCTGGTTTGGTCTCATTTGTCAGGCCAAAGAAACCTTTAATTAATGAAAGAAATAGAAAGAGGAGGCTCCAATGGGCTCGTCAGCATATTGACTGGACAGTAAACGATTGGATGAATGTCATATGGTCTGAAGAAACCAAAATCAACCGTTTTGGGTCCGACGGAAAGTCTTATGCATAGAAAGTGCCAGGCCAACCGTTAAAAAAGCACCAGGTTTGTGAGACAGTGAAGCATGGAGGAGGCTCTATAATGGTATGGAGCTGTATTAGCTGGTATGGTCCAGGCTATATTGTGGATGTGGGCAAGAACATGACAAAGGACGCTTATTTGGAGGTTTTACAAGATGATTTGATGAAGTCTTTGGCCTGGTACATGGAAGAAAGTGGAAAATCAACAAATCAATTTATCTTTATGCAGGACAATGACCCCAAACATGCAGCTAAAGTCGTATCAAAATGGTTAAATGAGCAAGAGTTTTACGTAATGAAATGGCCACCACAATCACCGGACTTGAACCCAATTGAAAACATGTGGCAATTACTTAAAAGACGGCTGTTTAGAAACTATGACTATCCTCCATGTGGTATACATGAGCTATGGGATCGTATAGGACACACTTGGTGTAATAAACGAAGATAAAAAAGAAATAAAAAAGCACCAAAACGATAATTACTTTGAGATACTTTTTATTCGTGATTATATCCAAGTTAAAAGTTATCCTTTTTTCAATCAGGATTTAGGTGGGATATTTATATTCTTTTGAATGATAATTCATGGGGACGATTGAGTTAAATCAATTGGTTCTTTCTTGATGTTTCATTATGGATTGGGGCATTGTCATCATATCTTGTTCCATGGAATCTTATCTTGTATAATTATATTATAAATCGTTGTTCTAAGCTACTAGTGTTGCATTTATAAATAGTCATCCATGGAATCGTTGTTTAAGACGGCACTTGTATTTTGTTCCTGAATGGTTATTGGGTTTGAGTAAACTCGGTTACTAAATAAGTGCAGAAAGACTGAAACCTAATAATGGAGACAACAGGAGCTATTAAGGCACCAATCGGATTATCGATAGGATTATTTCTCAATCATTCGTTTAGATCAATAAAGTTACTATGCAAGAAAAACAATATTCTATTCTGACATACATAGTCTCAATGCAACTTAATACATTGGATCATAAAAGAGATTATGCAAAGACTCATTACTATAACAAGTTGGTATTATATATGCAAGACATTCATTACTCTTTATGATATAATTCATCGTCAGATCTTTATGATTCAACTATGCTAGTGTTGGAGATGTTTGGTTTATAGCATAATTTATTATTTTATTATGTCTACCTATAACACTTGGTACCAAATCACGGCTGAAAAATGCCAAAAGTTTATTAAAAGTATGCCGGATCGATGCCGTGCAGTTATTGAGGCTGATGGCTTTTATATTGGATATTAAATAAACTTATTTTAACGCATTTTGCTTTCAAAATATATGGTCGCAAAACCGTTCGAATGTACCTTTGAGTTTTGATTGTCTGTAATACGATTTAGGGTGTGCTTAGGGCGGCAGATTATACGTCATCAGAAAGCCAAGAGGTTCTACTTTTAGGTGATATGTACTAAATATAATGTCCAGTATGCACAATACGTCACAAATGGTGCAGAAAGAAAAAAATACGTTTTGTGCGAACGGTTTTGCTGGCCACTGTACATACAGTGGGTGAAAAAACTAAAAACGTCGGATATTTTTTCAGTTATTAGCCTCTATGAGCATACACAGCGACTTGGATCATGCAAAGACTTTATGACATACTTGTTGGGCTGTCTATTACATCTCATGAAAGCTTTAACCTCAGACGTTTATTTAACAGTCCGCAAAAGCGATGGAAATGCTGTGGGTTTATTTTTAGAGTTTTTTCCCTTTACTTTTATTGTATTATAGATGACTTAATACCGAGTAGAACCACCTTTGGCATCGATTACTGCCTTAGTGCGCGCAGGCATAGTGTCAATATACCTTCTGCAAACTTCTTTATCAAAGGAGTTCCATTCCTTTTCAACTCTTTCCCACAATTCATGGACACCTTTGGCTTTCTTGTCATATAACGATAGCTTCAACTTCAAATGATGCCAAAGATGCTTAATAGGATTAAGGTCAGGACTTTGAGCTGGCCAGTCGTCAATGTAGTTCACCCCATTAGTGTTAAGGATACATAAGATTATAGTCACTTTATTTTAGTAAAAGGAATCTCATATGATCCTAAATAATATGTTGACATAACTTTGGAATCATTTATAACATTATTCCCAACACAGATCAATAAAAGACTTTGATTAGATTTTTATATTAAGCTTTATTCATACTAACTTCACACAGTCAAATGATGGCGTGGTTGTAATATAGTTTATTGATGATATGAGCATGTTGAATAAGGAATGACAATTACTTACCGGATCATCATTAAGTCATGTAAACCTTTATCCTAACTGAGATATTATTATTAGCCATAATATCCAATCACGGAACTAGAGGATTTTATATTCATCCGTACCGTCTCCTAAATAGTCCT